TGGGAAGTTGATAAAATAAACTTCATTGATAACATGTGTGTTCCTAGTGGTCCTTGATTGGTAGCACTGACAAATGATTGATTAAATGGTGTAAAATGCCATGTCAAATACCTGACTTAGGGTATACTCAAGAGTTCAAGTCCAAAGTCTTCTCTTAGGCTCAAGGCAATCTTGCATTGTGAGCTCCTATAAAATTAAAAGCAATTTACAAGTATCCAATATATAATGGTAGACAGTGAACATTTCCATTTAGGAAAAAAGGGGGCATAGAAAGAAGGGATAGGAACAAAGCAAAACTGAAATTCAGCTGGGCAAACAAGTCCTGTAACTTGATGTTCAGCATCTGGGGCACATGGCATGGTGATGTTCTATCCAAAGGGCTTGTGTACCTCCATCCCTATGGCCGTGTTAGCTGCAGTCCAAGTGGCCTTTCTGTTGGCTTGTCTCAGCTTGATTCCTGCAGCCTTCCTTGGCAGACATTTCATTGTAATGGCATTTCTTAATTTTGGGGTCTCCACTGCAGCTTTGGCTTCCTCCTCAAATCTCCACACATGGCCCTCTCCGGGGCTGCCTGCAGGGACTCTGACCCTGCTGCACTCTGCCTGCTTCCCAAGCCTTCCTTTGATATCTTGGTGGGAGCCTCCATGGCCTCCTAACTCCAGCATCCTGCATTCCTACAGCACCGTGTGGTTGACACCAATTTCTGCTGCCATCTTGAGCAGTAGCCAAGCTTCCAAGGACCCTGGCTGTAGCAGCCTCTAAGTGCCTGGGTGGCTGAGCACATTGAGAAAACTTCCAAGGCCCCCTTGGGCAAGAAGGATTTTTCACTGGTCTCTTCTCATGAGAATTTTCACTTTTATTCCCTGGAGCCTGAGATGGATATGGTCTTGCCAGCTCCTGAGTTGCCCTCAGGCCATCTTTCTTATTGTCTCTAAACAAAGTCTTCAGGATTTCTTTTGTGCCAGTAATGTCTTTAACAACTGCAACTTCCTTAGCTCCAGTTTTACTCCTACCTTTCAAGTCCAAGTTTTTCAAATCTTTCTGCTCTGCTTTCTGCTTCTGAATATCAAAATAAACAAATAAAAGCTGCCAGAAATATCATGCAATTTCCTGAATGCCTAGGCATTTCTTCCACCAGATTAAGAAGTCCATCACTTAATATCAGCCTCACAGAAAGTATCAGAACTTGGGTAAAATGCAGATAACTTCTCAACCAGAATATAACATGAATGGCCTCTACTTTAAATTCCAATAGAATTCTCCTTCTCTGAACCCTCTTGAGCCCTGTCCTCACTGTCCACGGTCCTATTGGCATCCTGGTCTTCTGAGCTCCCACCATAATCGGCCATTAAACTCCACTTACAACAATCTAAAGCATTTCCAGCTTGCACTGCTACACATCTCAAAATTTCTCCAACTGATTCCAAAAACCTCCAAAAGCTTCTGAATCACATGGTCAGTTTAGTCACAGCAACGACCCCACTTCTCAGTACCAATTCCTGTTTTAGTCAGCTTTTTTGCTGCTGTGACTAAAGGACCAGACCAGAACAACTGCAGAGGAAGAAAAGGTTTATTTGGGGTTCACAGTTTCAGAGGTCTCAGTCCATGGGCAGCTGGGTCCATTTCTTGGGGCTCAAGGTGACAGAATCTCATGGTGGAAGAGTGTGATGAAGGGAAGCAGCTCACATGACAATCAGAAAGCAGACAGAGAGACTCCACTCACCAGATACAAATATATACCCCACAGCCAAACCCCCAAAGCCTCACCTCCTCCAGCCACACCCCACTTACCTTTAGTTACCATTCAGTTAATCCTATCAGGTGATTAATTCACGGACTGGGTCAGGACTCTCATAATCTAATCAGTTTTTCTCTGAATCTTCTTCCATTGTCTCACATGTGAGCTTTTGGGGGACACCACACAGAAACCACAGCATGAACTTTCACTTTTTAAGGCTTCAGCTTCCCACTGTCAACTATAATCTGAAAATATTAAATGGAAAATTACAGAAATAATATTTCACTAGACTTAAATTGCACACCATTCTAAGTAGTATGATGAAAACTTGTGCCATGCCACTCCATCCTGCCCAAGATGTGACCACTGTACCAACACTGTATATGCTACCCACCCTTCTATAGTTTGGAGAAGTATAAATAAGATTTAATTTCCAGGAAAATAACGTGTATATTACAGAGACTGGACTAGGATAAAAAGGTTAATTTTCATCACAAGGATGTTCCAGTAAACTAGGGGGTAGGGTGAGGATGGGGGACAGAAATGGTTTCGTAATGCAGCACATAGTCTTCTGCCGCTGTCTAGCTGGGCACAAATAACTGGGTTTACCAGCCACTTGTAGGTTCAAACAGGAACTACTTTATTGCCCTAACCCAATGGGAACTCTCTAGAACTCCACAGAAACTCCATGAGAACTCAAAAGTAGCGGGCACCCGAGGTAGCAGGAGCCGCCTTGTTGCCGGACAGCAGAGGTTTACATACACAACTGAATACACAGCTTGCCTCAATTCAGCATCATCCAGTTACAGCAATCAGTCATTATCTTAATAATTATACACAACCCAACTCAATTATCATCATCTTAATGGCTCACTGGCGTTACTTCTCAACCACTCCTTCCGGCAAAATGCCAGGCGCAATCCTGACCTGGCTGTGGCTCTCAACAGTCTTCCTACCCATTGCCCCTTGCTCCTCTTTTCCCTCCCTATAATGTCCTCCAAAGTCCCCTGTGTTAATGGCTTGCTCCTCAGCCTGGTGCTATTGGGAGATGGCGAAACTTCAAGAGTCAGAGCCTAGTGGAAAGAAGGTGGGTCATTGGGGCTGTACCCTTCAAAGGATTTTATCCTGACCCCTTGCTATCTCTCTCTTTGCTTCTTAGATGCCACATGGTAAAAAGACCTCTTTCTTAGTGTATTCCTGTAACCAAAGAAAAGCCTAAATAAGTTCTCTTACTTCACTTGCTGTTAGTTTACTTTAAAGATCACTAATTTGGAGGTGATGCATCTGAGCAATATATTATTAGTCTCCCATTAGCTTTGCTGTGTTTGAAATCTCAACTAAAGCTGCCTAATGCATTAAAACTGTTCTTCAACAAAAGCCGATTTTTGCTTTCCTTTCATATTCCTATCCTAAACTTGTAACAAAAACTAAAAAGACATGAATCATAAAACTTACTAATCACTTTTTTTCTAAACTTATAGAACCAAGGACATGTGATGACAGATAACATCAGAATGTGAATCATCTAACACAAAACACAACTTGCTATCCCTATTTTTAAACTAAAAGCAGAAGTATAGATAAGGCTTAATTTCCAGGAAAATAATGTGTTTATTACAGAGACTGGACTAGGATAAAAAGGTTGATTTTCATCACAAGGGTGTTCCAGTAAACTGGGGAGGGTGGGGTGGGGATTGGGGGCTGAAATGGTTTTCAAGCCTGGATTCATAATGCAGCACATAGTGTTCCTACCCATTGTTCCTTGCTCCTCTTTTCTCTCCCTATAAAAGCCTTTTGTATTCCTGCATTTCCAAAGATGGTCTTTGTTTTGGGGGTGATGTTTCCCTCTACCTTCTCAGGGCTAGCCCTTGAATAAACTTTATTAACTTTCTCCGAACTCTCTTCTCCCAAATAGAGGCTTTTGAATGGCAAGCAGATGGAATGGGGTCTGGTAGCACTCCCACCACAATGTATTGTGTCACCATAGACCAAAAGCAACAGGGCCAGGTGACCATGGATAAAAACCTCTAAGATTGTGAGCCAGATGGAATTAACTTTGGAAAATCGGATTTACACAGGAAATTGATACCAGAATTCAGGTGTTGTAATTACACCTGAAAATGTTGTTCAATAGCAAGAAGAGTTTGGAAAAGTTTGGGCAAGCAGGCTAGTAAAGTCTAGAATGCTGTAAACAGAAATTAATGGGTGATTTTTGGTGAGAACACAGAAGACCAGAATGTTGTTAGAAACATGGACATTAAAGGTTATGCTCATGAGAATTTAGATGTAAATAAGGACTCGATTAGAAATTGGGCTAAAGACCACTTATTTTACTCTGTGGAAAAATTTGGCTGCATTATGTCCATGTCCTGAGACTTTATTGGAGGCTATATGTAAAAGTGATGAATTAGCTTATCTACTAGAAGAAATTTCAATTATGTCCCCAAAGCACAAGAGTAATGATGCTGGATATTCAGATAGATCAAAGAGAATCTGTAAAGTACTTCCTTTAAGTGAAAAGGTAAAAGTTTATCATATGTGTGTGTGTGTGTGTGTGTGTGTTACTATATATCTGCAGTTTCAAGGCATCTACTGGGGATCATGTAATATATCTCCTACAAATAAGGAAGGGCTACTTTATTTGAAGATGGTGATTTGTGGAGGTAATTAAATTTAGATGAGGTCATGAGAGTTAGGTCTTCATAATGGGCTTAATTCTTTATAAGAAGAGACCAGAGAGAGCTTCTCTCCCTCTCTATTCCACTCTTTCTTTCTCTCCCTGACCCCCTCCAATGTTGAAGTTTTCAGAAATATGAACGAATAAACTCCCTTATAGTTTAAGAAAATTTAAGATTGATCTCTGTTAGTTGCCAACAAAACATTTTAATGAATAGAGGCCAGATTGATTTCCTTCTGTTTTTTTCAATTTCTTTTTGTAAAAAAAAAGAAAAGAAAAACAAGAAAGAAAAAAAAAAAAGAAAAAGAAAAAAGTAAACATAACTTCTCAAAGTATCAGTAAGTTTGATTATCTGCATGCATTGATGAAGTTCAAAGGATAGCCATGCTTAGGAGTTCTAGGAAGACCTGGGAAAAAAAAGATAAACCCAGGTTGAGAAATAGATTTGTTCATCTCTCCTCCCTCCCCCAGCTCCTCCCCACAGCTGTCCTTTCTTTAGACCTTAGATCACCTTGTCAAATAAACTCTCCCTGTCCTATACAGAATCACTCTTAGAAAGCTGAATCCTGAGACTCTCTTTCCATGATGTACCTCAGTGCTGCAAATCACCGCATACCTCTAAGCGATGGAAACAGCATTCCCATCATTGGACTTGGGACTTTCTCAGAACCAGCATTGGTAAGTTTCTCTTTCTGTTGTTTTTTTTTAAACATTTAACTAATGAATAATTTGTAATTGATTTTGAGTCGATATAATTGATTGTCTTTATAAAGAAAGCAACTTCCAAGGACTGCTGCCCTTTGCCTAAATGGGAATCAAACCAAGGGTTACACTGTATCTGCTCATGGTTAACTAATTTAGATTAGAAAATGGTATTTTTTTCTTTCTTTACTGATATTCATCTGAATGCTAATAACTAGCTAAGACATATCAAATTTGTGAGTTATGATTTATGGAGTTTTTTTTAAAGGTTATATTTAAGAATTTTTAGTTCAGCCTAACAAATCTTTAGTAATTACCTGCCATGCACTGAGCAATAGTCTATATAGAAGCTTCAAATATGCAGAAAACACATCTCTGCTATCTAGGCATTAAACAGTCTAATGGAGGGTGCCATTTCTCCAACAACTAAACAAAGGTCAGATCTCTGTTAACAATGGAACTGTAAACAGTGTATCTCTGAAAACAGAAAAGAATGAAATTTGACCATGAGGACTGAAATGGGTTTCCTTTAAAACATGGTAAATTTCTGCTGAGAAGAACAATTCTTCATTACAGTTAACATTTACTGCCTTCTGTCCTGTTAACCATCTTTCTGTCCTGTGACAAAATGCCTGAGATAATCACCTTACACAGAGGGAAGATTTATTTTGGTTCATGGTTTCAGAGATTTCAGTGTATGGTTGCTTGGCCCTGTCACTTTGGGCCTGTGCAACAGGAGAACATAACAGCTGGGTATATGTGCCAGAGCAGAGCTGCTTACCTCTTGGCAGCAGGAAGCAGAGTCAGAGAAAGAGCTTGGGCTCCCAATAGCCCCATTAAGGGCACACCCTCAATGAACTAACTTGCTCTTACTAGTCTTTCCTCTTAATGGTTCAACCTTCTCCCAACAGCTCTCCAGGCTGGTGACAAAGCCTTTAGCACATGGTCTTTGGGGAACATTTGAGATCTAAACCTTAGCATATGTGTAGAAATGCCATTGAAATCTGAATGATCATGTACGATTAAACTCTACAAGCTGAGTGTGAATTAGCTAGGCAGAGAGTCAGAGCTGAGGAAATATGGGAAGCCTGGAGATATAGGACATACGATGTGTCCAGGCAAAGCCATAGAGCTGCAACATGGAGTTAAGAATGGAGGAGACGGAAGGTGAATATGAAAAATTTGAAAAATTTTTGAAAAAGTTGAGACTGGAATATGTGCAGAAGAGTTCATGTCATTGTATAGAGCTGAGAAATCATCTAGAGCTTAGGGGCAGAGGACTAGCATCCCAGGATCTGTTTTTGAAAGATATTCCAGGTGGCAGCAAACAGAATGGAAGTCAGAGGAGTAAAACCAAACTCTCGGTGCCATGAGTAGTTCGCTCTTGTATCACAACTCCACATCCACTGTAACTGCCCACGCCCTTTGTTGTTGTTGTTGTTTTGTTTAGTTTGGGGTTTTTTTTGGTAATGCAAAGGAAAATCATTCATGTAGTAGTTTTAGGTCCTTGATCTTTGCCTCTTCTTTCTTTGCCTTTGTCTCTGACCTTGTCCAAAATCTTGGCTCCAACCAACATATATACAGAGATTACCAATCCATACTTAATATTCTGTTTGCTATATCTTCTCCATACAGCTATGGATTGGCTCTATCAGAATCCCCTGGGACACTCTGAACATACAGATCCCTGGGCCTCATCCCCAATGTCCTGAATCTGGATCTCTAGGGGTAGAGATTAAAAATCTTGGGGCTGGGGATGTGGCTCAAGCGGTAGCTCGCTCGCCTGGCATGCATGCGGCCCGGGTTCGATCCTCAGCACCACATACAAACAAAGATGTTGTGTCCGCCGAAAAACTAAAAAATAAAATAAAAAAGAATCTTCACTTAACAAGATCCTGGGGTAATTCTGATGTACAAATGCATTTGTACTCCGTCTAACTAATGAGGTGCCACTACACAGGTCATCTCCCCTTTCCCAAGGAATACTTCTCCCAGCAAGTAGCAGTAACTCCCAGACACCGGAGGAGCCCCAAATCAGAACACATACCTTCCTTCTGTCCTCGTTAGCATTCCTCCCTTTCTCCACATTGTTCCCAAGTAACTGCTGAGTTCTTGTTGCTTTTCTCTCCTGGTTTCCCAGCGCACACCGTCGCTGCCTTGGATTGGCTTTTATTTATTTTGGGCTAGTCTTCAAGTTTCTTTCCTTTCTAATTAACCACCCAGATGGAGACCACCAGAATCTTTCTAAAACCTCAATCTAGGCGTGCCACAGGTTGGCTTAATCATTTCAGTGGCTCCCTACCAATGTTTGTTGGGGTGACTCCCACAGTCCCTGCCCCGCCAGCAGGCTGTCCCTCTCTCCCCACAGTCTGGGTTCCCAGCAGCACTCCAGGCTCCCTTCCTGTGAGCTGCTGCCTTCTACCTGCGCTCCGGGGACTGGCTCATCTGTGTAATGCACCTGCAGCCCCTTGCTCCACACGGTGGCAGCACTCGCCGTGCTCTGTTGGAATCACCGTTTCTCTGCCGTCTTCCTCTCTAGACGGTGAATCCATGAAGAAAAGGGCCACGTTTTGTTCAGCTCTATATTTTCTAGTATAATATAGTACCCTATATTCTAGGAGAGTGCCTAGAATGTCATGTGGGTTCAGCCAACGCTTGTCCACTGATGAACCAACTTGGGAGAGCTTTATGTATATGTGTGTGTGAGTGTGGATCAGAGGGCGTGGGTATGTAAGTGGATGGCAAAATATTAGCTAAAAATTTTCTGAACTTAACCATTTGACAGGAACCCTTTTAAGGTTTGTTGTTTTGTGTTGTTTTTGTACTGGGGTTTGAACCCATGGGGCGTTTAAACACTGAACCAACCGGCTTTTATATATATATATATATATTATTGTGAAACGGGGTCCCACTGAGTTGCTTAGGGCTTCCCATAGTTGCTGAGGCTGGCTTTAAACTTGTGATCCTCCTGTTTCAGCCTCCGGAGCAACTGGGATTACAGGCATGTGCTACTGTGCCTGGCGGCCTTTTAAGGGTTTTATATTACATATGTTTTCTAATTTAATCCTCCCCAAAGTACAAATTCTGTACCAGTTAACGCTGTTGACAGATAAGAAAATTGAGCCATGGAGATTAAATAAATGACTCCAAGTTTATAATGCTAAGGCACAGAGCTCTAATTTGAATCCATATAGTTTAAGTTCAGACCCTATGCTATGAATTCCATAGTATATTGCCTTTTATGAATATATCATATCAATAAAACAGCATGTTTGTAACTATGATCTTCTATATATATTTCTGTAAATGAAAGTGTCTAGAGTGTGTGTGTGTATTCTGACATTCAGTGGGACTCAACATGTTGTGTCTACCAATAAGAATGATTAAGAACTCGAGCATGGTAGTGCACACCTCTAATCCCAGGGACTTAGGAGGCTGAGGCAGGAGGACTGTGAGTTCAAAGCCAGCCTCAGCAACTTACCAAGACCCTAAGCAACTTTGTGAGATCCTGTCTCCAAAAATAAGAAGGGCTGGGAGCATGGCTCAGTGGTTAACCACCCTGGGTTCAATCCCTGGCACCAAAAAAACAAAACAAAAACAAGAACCTACTAGCTGCCTAGTAATATTAAATGCTAGGATGAAAAAATATTCAAAAGCGGTCATATGCCAGTTCCCACAGAGCAGTGTAACTTCAGACGAAAACACATACAGCCATCAGAGAGTAGACATAAGAAGAGTGCTCTTAGAAATGAGTACCAGGCACCAGGAGACTTGGGGTAGGGGTAGGGGAGATGAGGATGTAGAGAAGGGAGCATCTCAGAGTAGACTCATGGCTTTCTGTTCTGAGCCACACACGTAACCAACTCCTTATTTTTCTGCCCCAGGGATGATGAGGCAAAGGTAGAACCTAGAACCACCTGTACCCATTTCAATCATCCTGTAATAAAAGTGCTGACTTATATTAATTTCAGAATCAGTCTCAGTTCTAGAGGTGGCGTTTGATGTCCAAATGTAGCCTTCTCCACTTGGCGTGCCTGAGATGATGCTTTTCAAAACCTTTTCATGCCAGGCCGAGGTATCTCTTGAACTGAAATTTGTCCACCGTCCATGTGTATGATCAAGTCTATCAGTGTTTGTCCTGGGATCCCATCTGTTTTGATAGGGCGTTTGGACTGTAGCAGGATGCCAGTGGAAGTGTCAGGGATGTCTTCAGAGGCACGTGGAGATGGGAGCAGAAATGGAGGCTGAAAATACAAAAGACAGTGTGGCCCCCGATCTGCCTGATTCATCCCCCACTAGAACATGTGAAGAGGGAAGCCGTGGGAAAGGAGCTTAGGTGGAGCTGGTGAAGCCAACCAGCCCAGGTTCTCTTGCCTTACAAAGACTTCTTTCTCTGAATAGGTCCAACTTCTTTCTTTCTTTATTTATTTATTTTCTCAGATTTATCAGCTTATGCAATATTAGAAATTACATAATTTTAAATATTAAATGGCACATACAGGCCTGTAACTGCAAACACAAAGATGGGTAGGTCCAACTTCTTGTAAGGGGATTGAAATGGAACCAGTGTTCAGTAGCACTAGTACCCTTCCTAGGTGGCCCTGGTTGAGATTCCTGTAGTCCACGGTTAGAATCTGAAGAGTGAACCTATATCTGTGTACAAGGAGAAGTCAAGTGCAAGCCCTTGAGTACCCAGGAGGAACCTAAAACAGGAGTCCATTTTGCCCCAGAGTTGGTGGAGATGGTGGGAGCCGGTCTGAGGACCTCAGAACCCCATCTCAGGGGCTATCCTTTCAACATTTTCACTTTCTTCCTGCTGCCCATCTGTGCCCTCTCCTCCTCTCAACCCAGGGAACCTCGCCTCACCAGGGGAAGGCACAACCTTGCTTTTACACTAAGATTTCTTTCTTTCTTTCTTTATTTTTGGTTCAGATCTACATTTAAGCTTGGAGCAGGGTGAGGGTGGCTTCCCCAGCTCTGCCTGAAGAGTCCAGGGACCTGGCAGGAAGCTTACATAAGTGGTCCCAGGGAGCTAAGTCCATTTCTCAATTTTGTTCTTCTATCCCATTCTGATAGAGACATGAGTGCAAGAAGGGTTCTATTTTTTTCTTTACTATAAGCAACACACACACACACACATACACACACCAAAACTATCACTCAGGGGACTATTTTTGAGAATACAAAAGTTGCTGGGCACAGTGGGGCATGCCTGAGGCACAGGATCACAAATTCAAAGCCAGCCTTAGCAACTTAGTGAGGCCCTAAGCAACTCAGCGAGACCCTGTTTCAAACGTAAAAAATTTTAAAAAGGGTTGGGGTGGGGATGTGGCTCAGTGGTAAAGTGCCTCTGAGTACAATCCCAGTACCAAAAAACACATGAAAACACAATAAGTAGAGCCTGAGATTTAGATCACACATACCCTGTACATAACAAAAGGGTCCAGTTGTCTGATTTTCAAATATTTTTCAGAGAATACTGTAAAGGAATTATTCATTTTAAAGACAACTCATTCTGATTTTCCTAAAGCTGATATGGACTATTATTTTGAGGAACAAAAAAAAAAAAAAAAACAAAGGAAAAAAATCCAGTTAGTGTTTATTTGTTTCCCTTTTAGCATAGCGGAGATTGGAATTCTCTCCAGTTGCTATGACAACTACACACTCACACTCCCTGCCACGGAAGCCTTGGCTTTCTTAGTGTTAGAAACCAGGCGCTAAGAACTGGCCCATCATGAGCTGGGTTAGATCTGACTCCCTGAGACTCCCATTTAGCAAGCACAGTAAGCATATTGGAAGGTGCCATGGGCACATCTGTGACTGGACACAAACTAGACAAGACATGTCATTCAGATGTCCCCCTGTACTGTGGCTTCAGACTGAATGACAGGATAGTCTTATTCTTCTGATTAATTCAGATTAATAAAATGAACAAAGATTTGGCTACCAAATTTTACAAAATATATGCATTTTGAAAAAAATCAAACATGACCCCAATGATCCTTCTTTCCTAAATCTATTGAGGTATCGTTGACACATAGTAAGCTGCATATATTTAAAGTACACTGCGTGCTGGAGGAGGGGAGGCTCTGTCTCCATACACGGTCTACCATTCACGCTGTCTACAACAGCGTGGAATTTAGAATTGTCATGTTAGTTGTAAAACAAGGCAATGCAAAATTTCCTGATTAATGTTGGTTTCCCTTCACCTCAACCCCAAACTGCTTGTCATTTCAGACCAAAAAGGGGGACTGTGCAGCATCAGTGAAGATTGCCATCGACATAGGGTATCGGCACTTTGATGGGGCCCACCTCTACCAAAATGAGAATGAAGTGGGAGACGCCATCAGTGAGAAGATAGCAGAAGGGAAGGTGAAGAGGGAGGATATTTTCTACTGTGGAAAGGTGAGATCTTGCATTCACCCTCCATCTCCATTTGCATTCATGGCGCCTCTTCTCTTGGCTAAAGAAAGTTGGACTTCTCAAGACCTATCTCTCCTCCTCAACTGCCAGATCTCAATTGTCCCAAGAATTTAGAGGACTGATTCCCCCTGCAGGTTAGGGAGAGGATCCTTGTTCATACATATGCACTGATTTTAGGCAACTTTGAGCAAAGCCTGCTTTTTCTTTTGCACGTGACTATTTGTGCATCTATTGCTATTTTTTAGATTGAGATACAATTCACTGACCATAAAGTCTCTCCTTTAAATCAGGTCTTTGGTTGTACAGCCATCACCTAATTCCAGAACATTTTTTTTTCACTCCAAGAAGAAACCCTCTGCCCATTAGCGGTTATTTCCCATTTATTCCTCCTGCCTAGTCACTAGCAACCATTGAAGTACTCTCCGTCTCTATAGGCTTCATATGGTGGACACTTCTCAAACAGAATCACACAATCTGTGGTCTTTTGTGCCTAGTTTCTTTCAGTTAGTATAATGTTTCCAAGGTTCACGCATATGAGACTGAAAATGTGCACGCCTTATAACTTAACAATTCCTCCCCAGTACATATTCCAGAGAGCTTTTGTCTTATATGACTAATACCATTTGTAAGGGTGCCCACAGCCCTGCTATTTATGATAGCCCCAACTTAGAAAGAACCCAAAGGCCCACCAAGAATAGAAGAGGCAAATGAATTGGGATATATTCAAGCCCAGTACATAAGTAATGATGAATGAAGTCCAGCTAGAAGCACCAATAGGGTGGATGTGAATTTTGACAACCTGATAGGGGGAAAAGCAAGTTCTCAGTAGAATTCCATTTATACAGAGATAAAAAGGCAAAATTATACATTATTATTTAGAGATACATTCATAGAGAGTGAAACCTATAAAACCACTCAAGGAAAAGATAAACACAAATTTTAAGATGGAATATCCTCTGCATAAGGTCCATAGTGGGCTTCTTAGACAGGTAAGGTTCTATTTCTTGACCTCACAAAAGTGGGGTAATGTCAGATGTTCATTTTATTTTTCAACTGTGTGTGTGTGTGTGTGTGTGTGTAAATAAACTCTTATAAGTACAGTTGGCCCTCCATATCTATATATTCTGAATTTGTGGATTTGACCAACTGTGAATATAAAATATTCAGGAAAAAAAAAAATGCATCTGTACCGAACAAATACAGACTGTTTTCTTGTCCTTATTCCCTTAAAAAATACAGTATAACGAATACTTACATAGGATTTTCACTGCATTCAATCTTATAAGTAATTTATTGATTATTTAAAATATACAGGAGGATGTACATAGGTTCTATGCCAGATCCTCAGATTTGGTATTCTTGGTGGGAGAAGGGTGGTCCTGGAACCAATATTCCTCACAGCAACTGAAGGATAACTGTACACTATGTTTAATTAAAATAGTTTGTATTTTTTTAAGATAAATATAAGATGACATAAAAATCATGAAAACAGAATTTTTAATATTATTGTATTATTTATTGGTTTGGGAGAAGTAGTAGTAGGTAGAATAACATTTTGTGACGAGTAAGAGGGTTAAAAGGAAATACTTGAATAAGTTTAATAGACTAAGAAATTGAATCAATTTTTTAAAGCAATAGATTTTGTTTAATAAAAGCAAACAAATGTCAATCAAAAAATAAGTTCAGGGGCTGGAGATGTAGCTCAGTGGTAGAGTACTTGCCTAGCATGCACAAGGCCTTGGGTTCAAACCCCAGCAACACACACACACACACACACACACACACACACACACACAAGTTCTTAAGGTCACAAATACAAAAGCTAGCTGTGTAAACACCTGGGGCAGGTGTACCACATAATCCTTTAGCTTAACCTACTTTATAGCTATTTCTCACTATGATGGGTGCTGAAAGTAACATATAAGAAGGAAGGGGTCAAATTATCTTTCAAAATCCTTTAAATTGCCCTCAAGTACAGTTGTGCATGTAACTGGATATTTGTACATGTACAAGATCAATAATGTGCTGAATATCATAAAGTACACATAAGAACATATGATAATAAGTAAACCAGAAAGGGTGTATGTACCTGAGTTCACATCACAGCACAGGCTATGCCCCATAGGATCAGCTTTCACTGCAGCTCCACCCATGCCTGAGAGGCAGTGGGACAATGGTTAAGTGCACAGACCTTGGAGCCAGATTGGCTGTCAGAGTGCAAAACAATGTATACAACTGCTCGCCCCAGATTCCCTGCTAGCTGTGAGCTACTTGGCGTTGGTTACCATCTCTGTAAAATGGAGAAAATGATGTCAGTCACTTCATAAAGTTGTTATGACTTAACATTTATAAAGCACTTAAACAGTATCTGGCATGAATCTAATACTATAAGTGTGTTGATTAAAAGCAAATTAAAATATAAAACAGGATTTTCCCTCGGATAGGTTGGCAGCAATAACAGTGAAGGGACCCACAATAATAACTAAAACACTTTTTCCCACTATTCTCTCCGCATCGTGTTTTCTTCTCTATGGTTTTAGGGCAGGAAAAAAAATCATTGTCCAAAACAGCAGCAAAAATTCAGATTTTACCAATTTTGCTTGTCTTCTTGTGACAAAAGAGTACAAAAAGTCAAAACCTTTTTTACCTTAAAAACAAAATCTTTGCGTAAGATTGATGCTGTGAGATGATGTATTAATTTTTCCTGTGAGTCTGAGTACTCCTTGTCACTCAGATTTACATACCTAAGGGTATACATGCTGTGACAACCAAACCTTCATTATGTAATGTTTTAGAAATGGAGTAAATTCTTGTAGAAATTGGGAGAATTCCCTGGGTCTATAAGAACAAAGCAGAACAAAAGAGCAAGGAAGAATCAAAAGTCGTGCAATAAATTTTGCCAGGTTTCTGTACCACCTATCACAAAGCAAAGGATCCCCTGAAGCCATGCGAATAATTATTTTCTTTACTCGTTTGAAGGACACATTTTATCAAAATGGCATTAAAAAAAATGTGCCAGCCTAATTCACAACATCTAGCTAGATACATGTTCTCTGGTTACACAGTGAAGAAGAGTGAAAGCAACATGGATCAGTTAGGAAATTAGCACAGGGTGACCAAAAGGCTTTGTCATATAATTGGGTTCTTTGCAGCCAGGTATGTCTTTAAGTGTCGTATACCATGTTCAGATAGAGTGATGCTCTGGTGTCAAAAGAGTGTTTCCCGCTCATCCGACACTCAGTTAACATTGCAGCATAGCCTTATTTTTGTGAAATGAGTGAATGGAATGTGCATGAATGCTTTGCAAAAAAAATAGAAAGTTGCATTAATGTGAAAACAGCATGGACATTAATTCTCTCCCCTTGATTCTTTCAGCTGTGGGCTACAAATCATGTCCCAGAGATGGTCCGCCCAGCCCTGGAGAGGACACTCAAGTCCCTGAAACTGGATTATGTGGATCTTTACATCATTGAAGTACCCATGGCCTTTAAGGTGAGTTCAGATGCCTAAAGGTTAGGCCTGCACCCAGTGACCATGAGCCCACAGCTGTGTGCATGGGCCTTGTTCATTATCTAGCACCACAGAATGTTACGATGTTTTGTTTCCATAGATCAGAGTACTAACCTTCCCTGTCAAATGCACAGAAAGGTTAATTTCACAGACTTGGGTCTGAACCCCAAGTTTATTGATTCTTAACTCAGTGTGGTTTCTATTATACCATGTTTTTACAACTATAAATTCTTTCCATCTTGGTCTCTGGCTCAAAACAATACAGAAGAGGAAAGCACAGATAATATGTTTTTGGGTTTTTTTTGCATTCAATTTGCATCTCATTAGATGGTGCATGTCTGTTTGACAGGACAGCTGTGGCCTAAGGTCTTGCTTTCAGAGAGACCTTGAGAACTATTCTTCTCCCAAGGCCCTACTGAAAGCCAGTTTACCATATACCAGTTACCCTAACACCAGCCCACTGCATCTTGGGCTGATCTCATCACCTGCACAAGTCTGGAGAGACAGAACATTTCACACAAGTGAAGCAGCTTTATTAGTCACAGATAAGCATCAAGGGACAACAGAAGCCTGGAATTCATGACAAGCTGGTTCCCCAAGGCTAAGGAAAGCTGCCCAGAGCAGATGGAGACTCATTTACAAATGCCTGTAACTCCACAGCTGAGAGATTCCAAAAGGTGGGTTTTATAGCCCAGGGGAACATGCCTGCTGGGCAAGAGCACTGCAGGAAACCCTGTTCTATGAGGGAGAGGAATAGGGACCAGGCTCTTCTGGACAGTTCCTCTTTTTCTCAGGATACTGCATTCCCAGTCCATCCAACAGCTATTCTAGAGAACTACAAGCAAAAAAGCCGGGGGTGTGTGGGGGGGTGTCAGCCAAGGTTGTCCAGTGACCATTCTTGCACCAATTTTATTTCCCACTCAATTTCCTTTCTGACTACCTTGGCTGACACTGACTTCTCTAACTCTGTGAGACTCAGATACCACCCTTTGCCATCTTGGGCTGCATCCAGAAGCAAGAAGAACCCACTTTTGTAAAACATCATAAAGTCACCATTTTAAATGAGGAAGTTGAGCCAAAAACCATAGAATGAGAGGGGAGGGAATAGGGATGGTAGAACACAAAGGTCACAGATGTCTACTGTACTCATTAATTAGAGGTCATTTGTGACAAATGATAAGGATCATGGGCTCCAGAGCCAGGCTGCCTCTTCTGAATCCATCTCAGTCCCATAGGAGCCAGATGGCTTGGTTGAGTCATACCTAATCTCCTTCCCACATCACCTAAATATGGTGTAGTGGAAAGAATATGGGCTTTGGAGTCACCCAAACTTTTTGGCTGTATTACTCCCTAGAAGAATCACTCTTAACTTTCTGAACTTCAATTCTATTGTCAATTGTCACTCTTGACTTTTGACTTTATTACTCCCTAGAAGAGTCACTCTTTCTGAACTTCAATTCCATTGTCAATTTCGTGAAAACAATAATAGCTAATTTGTGTCTACTTCGGGGAGTCACTAAAAGGCCAAGTTCGGAGGTACTGACACAATGCCTGGCATTGAAGAGATAATAAAATAAAAGATGCTATTATGAAATATTTGGGTGGAAAGGATACTTAGCAATTATACATATTAATAATCTCATTTCAAAAAAAGAGAAAGCTGAGCCTCAAAATCTTGAAGTCAGTTACTCATGTTCCAAGTTCATCAGATTTAGGGGTCAGACCCTGGGTCACGTGACATGTGGTCAATGCCATGCTCATCTTTACACTCTACTGTCCCTTCTGACTTCTCCTCTTGAGCCTAACACCCAAGGACAGCAGTGGTTTCTTGGTATCATGATCTCAACTCTCATCTCACTCAGTTATTGTTGACTCTTGTGCAAATGGTAGATTTTTTCCTAAATCTGAGTCTTAAAATTTGGGGGAGAACCTGTATTTAAAAGTGATAAGATAAAGTTTAGCTGGGTGCAGTGGCGCTTATCTGTAATCCCAGTCATCCAGGATGCTGAGTCAGGAGGCCAGAGAGTTCAAAGCCAGCCTTGGCAACTCAGCAAGGCCGCAAGCAACTTAGGGAAACCTGTCAAAAAAATAAAAAATAAATAAAAAGGGCTGGGAATGTGGCTCAGTGGTTGAATGTCCTTGGGTTCAACCTGTGGTACCCCCCCCCCAAAAAAAAAAAAAGTTTACCTGTCTATGGACGAAATAACTTTTTAAAGTCTTTTTTGGAGAAAGCAAATAGAAAACTTCTATTTGTACTCTTGAAAGGATCAAAGCTCAGCGAGATCAAACTAACAGTAAGAATTGACACAATATAATGATACCTCCCAACTGGGCCTGTAATTGGCAAATGAATATTTAAAGCTAAAACATCATAAGCTTTTTAATCTCATAATTTTTTAAGTGAAAAAAATCTTTTTTGTCAAAAATCTCAGTGTTTTTTGAAAGTGACAAGTTGATAAGCAGACATGATTTCAGAGCAACAAAATAGAAAAAAAAATTAGAAGACATTTTTAAAAGATGAATGAACAGAAATAAGAGTAAGTAGCATGGATTTTTGGAGGGCTGAATTAATCTTCCTATACTGCCTGACAGTGTAGGAAAGAGAAAAACCAACTTCTCAGGATAAAGCAGACATGGTGGAAGTTCAAGGGGACACGTGGAAATACCTAACGTGGGTTAGGGTGGCTTGATAGTAGCATCTGGGGAAGAAAAAAAATCATGTAACAGAACTTGTGAAGGAGGAATAAGGTCATTTCAGAAGATGAGTAAAATGATAAAATGCAAAAGGCAAAAAATACGGAGGAAGAGTGGAGTAGAAATTTGGGTCATAGATGTTGAGAAAATCTGAGAGCTTAGAAATCAGAGATGAAAAATAATTAATGTGAATAATTATTCACATTAATAAGAGAGAAAGGAGAAAGGAGACTGGTTCTTCCTTTCAATGAGACAGGAAGAAACAGGAGAAATTCTCTTTGCTAAGAGAACAATGTGGAAAGTTATTATTAAGGGAAAGTTGAGTTTTGTGAAAGTAAGATGGTAGAGGAAAAAATGAGAAAAATATTTAAGAATAAAATGGGTATTGTCCAATTACTGCATTCCCTTCTCAGTCTGTTTTGTGCTAACAGAACACTCAACACTGCATCATTTATAGAGAACAGATATTTACTGTCTCCTAGTTCTGGAAGCTGGGAGATGTATTATCAAGGCATCTGAAAAGAGCTTTCTTGCTGTCAATGCATGGCAGAGGTGGAAGAGGAAAGACTGCAAGAGAACAAACTCACTCTTATACGTCCTTTTTATAATGGCACCTGGCTATACTCCTAACCACTTGTCATCGGTCCCCATCTCCCAGCACTGTTGCAATGGGTATTAAGCTTTCAACACATAAATTCTGGTAGACATATTCAAATGGTAACAGCTCCCTACAAGATATTTCTATCAAAGTCAGCAAAGGTGTCTATCCTGCCAAACCCAACAGACACTTTGTCCTCGTTGATCAACTGTGTTGATCTCTTTCAACACAGTTGTGTGTTCATCTCCCTCTTTAAATATTTTCCTCTTTCAGCTTGTATGATAATACATTCTCATGATTCTTTGACAGCTACCCTCTGCCAACCTTCAAATGTTGTTATGCCCACTGCTCTTTCTGCCATAGTCTTGTCTTACTGGCCTCACTCTCTTCCCAGGACCAACAGTGTTTAGCTTCCAAGGTTAGATGAGGTTCTATATGCTCAGGGTGGAAATGGATAGGACCTAAGCCTACTATCTTTGTAAATTGATTCCACCCACTCACCCAGCCTTAAGACCATTTTACAGGCTGATGAATCCCAAATTTAATCTGTAACCATGATCTCTTTCTGAACCCTAGGCTTCTCTGTTCAACTGTCTTTCCAAATACTCCCTTGAATGTCAAACAGAGACTAAGGGTGTAATTCAGTGGTAGAGCTTTTGCCTAGCAGGCATCCCTAAATTCAATCCACAGTGCTACAGGAAAAGAATAAACAGATTGGTCAAAACATCCAAAATATTTCTGGGTGTGGTAGTTCATGCCTGTAATCCCAGCAACTCAGGAGGCTGAGGCAGGAAGATTGTAAGTTTGAGACCATCCTGGGCAACCTAGCAAGGCTCTAAGCAACTTAATGAGATCCTGTTTCAAAAAATTAAAAAAGGGCTGGGGGTGTAGTTGAGGAGCTTGGTGCTAGATCATCCCTGGGTTCAATCCCCAGTATTGGAGAAAAAAAAGAACACTCTTGAATCTTGGCCCCAACCTCAGGAAATGATTACTACCATTCAGCTAAGCAGCTTAGGAATTATCCTTGTTTTCTTTCTGTCCCTTACTGCCACCACTTCACCTCATTTCCAAGCCAACATTAAAGGTATTGGCCCCACTCCTAGTTCATATGTTAATCTCTTCTCTTATTTTCATCTCTACTGCTCTGGCTCCAGTCCAGAGTCAGACCCTGAAATGAGGAGGTACATGAGAGTGAGTTATTATGATCTGCAACTGGGGAACACCCATAGGGAAGTGAGGAAATGTGACTGGGGTAAAAGGAGTCAAGCAGAGGTGTGACAGAAAAAGTCCTCCAGAAAGCAACTTTGACTCAAGGTCCTGGGAACCTCTAGCCAGAGTTAGTCACATCTCAGAATCACTTGATTGAGGAACAGCAATACTTTTACCTCTGCAGCTCTAGGTCAAGAGTTGCCCCCGGTGGGTATCAATTCCTGGGCACACCCCATGTGAGGAAGCAAAAACAGGTTCTATCGGTCTGAGGTCTGTCTTCTAACAGACAGATTCAAGCAGGTGCTGGCTGTGGGTAGTGAAAGCAGAGCATATGCAAAAATGGTAAAGGCATCTGAGGGGTACCATCTTAGTCCATGTGGACTGATACCACAAAATCCATTAGACTGAGGAATTTACGAACAAGAGAAACTTATTACTCACAGTTCTGGAACCTAGGAAGTCCAAGATCAAGGTGCCGGAA